GGCGAGACTTCATCTCTACAATAAATCAAAAATTAGCCGGGTGTGGTGGCGCGCGCCTGTAGTTCCGGCTACTTGGAAGGCTGAGGCGGAGGATTGCCGGAGCCCGGCAGGTCGAGGCTGCGGTGGCCGGGAGCGGCCACTGCACTCCAGTCTGGGCGACAGAGTGAGACTCCAACTCAAAAAAACAAAAACAAAAACAAAAAAATTATAAAAATAGGCCAGGTGCAGTGGCTCAAGCCTGGAATACCTGCACTTTGGGAGGCCAAGGTGAGGGGTTTACCTGAGCCCATGGGTTTGAGAACAACCTGGGCAACTTGTGAGACCTCGTCTCTATAATAAATAAAAAAATCAGCCGGGTATTGTAGTGCATGTCTGTAGTTTTGGCTACTTGGAAGGCTGAGGTGGAAGGATTGCCTGAGCCCAGCGAGTCAACACTGGGGTGACTGTGAGTGTGCGTGCTACCGCACTCCAGCCTGGGCAACAGAGTGAGACTCCAAGTCATAAAAAAAAAAAGTTTTTTTTCTTTTTTGTTTTTGAGTCAGGCTCCTACTCTGGAGTACTGTGGTATAATCATAGCTCACCACAGCTTCCAACTCCTAGACTCAGGTGATCCTTCCACCTCAGCTTTCTGAATAGCTGGCATGATAGGCACTTAAAAAATTTTTTTTAAAGATGAGGTCTCGATATGTTGCCTAGGCTGGTCTCAAACTCCTGGACTTAAGCAGTTCTCTTATCTCAGCCTCCCAAAGTGCTGGGATTATAGGCATGAGCTACTGTGCCCAGCAAGAAAGAAAAGAAAAAAAGAGTTTTATAATTGTACCTATGCATTAATTATTTACATAAACAAAAGTAGAACCAGGCCAGGTGCCATGGCTCATGTCTGTAGTCCCAGCATTCTGGGAGGCCAAGGCAGGAGAATTGCTTGAACCTAGGAATTCGAGACCACCTATGCGACATAGTGAGACCTCAACTACAAAAAAATTAAAAAGTTAGTTGTGCGTGGTTGTGTGCCTCCGTAGTCCCAGCTACTTGGGACACTGAGGCAGGAGGATTGCTTAAGCCCAGGAGTTTGAGGCTGTGGTGAGCCATGCCTGGGTGACAGAGAGAGACCCCAACTCAAAAAACAAAAATGGAATCAAGCATAATTTCCCCAGTAAATAGTATAATAAAATCATAGATGTCTTCTTTTCACATGTGACTTTTACTGTGCCATCATGATGTAGGCCATTTTAGCAAGATTAATGGAGAGCCTCCATTTTTCTCAAGTCCCCTCAACTTACAAATTATTTTTTTTTTTGAGTCACCTATCATGTCATCATCCTGGTCCAGTTCTTCTTTTCCGTTTGTTAACTGGTCTGATCCTTATTTGTCAGAGGCTCACTTGTGAGTCAGGCAGTTCTCCAAAGTTTCTTTCATCAAGTTGAGCTTTGGCATGTTTGGCAGATTTTCCAGTTCTGCTATGCATTGGGTCTGCACTGTGCTGACTGAAGTATCAGATACTCAGTGAGAGAGACTAGCTGGCAGTGAGCAGAATGATGGGTGCAAAGTGGGCGGGATCCTGAATGGGAACTCTGTTTATGAATGGTCAGTTATTTAGAAGTCATTTTCATGTTTGATGACTTTGGCTTTGCTACTGAAAGCTTTATATCCAACCATTCTACCTGTTAACACAGATCATGAGGACTCTACCCCATAATATAGTTCAGCATTCCATCAACTGCCTTTAACAGGTTTCTTTAAGAGTATTTGAAAATTTAAACAAGTTAAAATCAAATTATATGTTGATGTCCTTGAAGACTCTTAAGTAAAGCATTACTAAGCAATTGAGCTAGAAGAGTATTGTGTCCTTGTATATCACACTAGAAACCAAATGGTGAGATGAAAAATAGTAAACCATTTCTGTGATGGGCTTAACTTTATTTTAAACATTGCTCTGTAGAACATTAAGCTGAAACCCTGTCATACTTCACCACAGAGTAGTACTCAAAGCATCATTTACACAATTTGCTTATTTTGGAAGTGCTCATTTTGTTCACTGTATTTCTTGAAGGCTGCCCTTGGAGCTGGCTTCTCTGATAAGACTCCTGCTCACACTGTCACCATGGCTTGCATCTCTGCCAACCAAGCCATGACCACAGGTATGTTTAAATGGAAACCTACAGTACATGTTAATTTTCCTCTTTTGTCTTTTACATGATCATAAAAAAATATTCTTAACAGAAGTAAATAGGTGATTAGCACAGATTTCTACACTTGTGGGGGATTTTTTTTTTTGCTCTTTTAAATTTTATTTATTTTATTTATTTTTATTTTTTGAGTTGGAGTCTCTCTCTGTCGCCCAGACTGGAGTGCAGTGGCCTCTCCTGGCCACTACAACCTCGGCCTGCTGGGCTCCGGCGATCCTTCCACCTCAGCCTTCTGAGTAGCCGGAATTACAGGCATGCGCTACCACATCTGACTAATTTTTTGATTTATTGTAGAGATGAGGTCTCGCCAAGTTGCCCAGGTGGGTCTTGAACCCGTGGACTCAGGCAATCCACTCCTCTCAGCCTCCCAAAGCGTGGGATTGCAGGCTGAGCCACTGTGCCTGGCTTTGCTTTTTTTTTTTTTTCTTAAATTTTTGTATAGGTGAGGTCTCACTATGCTGCCCAAACTGGTCTCGAATTCCTGGCCTCAAGCACTCTTCCTGACTTGGCCTCTCAAAGTACTGGGATTACAGGTGTGAGGCACTGTGCCTAGCTTACACTTGTGTTGTTGTTGTTTTTTTTTTTAAATAAGGCCATGTTTAAGATTTGGGATTTTTAACAGTAGTTATCAACCTTTTTTGTGCTTTCCATAGCTGAAGGACAAAGCCATTGACGTAGTTCCTCCATCAGTAACATGGCTGGCTGCAGCAGGGGTTGTCAACTGAAGGAGTGTGTCTCCAAAAAGGTGCTTCAGAATCTGAGGCATGCATCGTTTATCACCTGCTAGATTTTAAAACTAGTTGATTCTGATATGATAACTTCCCCACGAAGATAAGGTCCTCCTCCCTCTACCACCCCCATAGTTGTAAATCACAGCTTTAGATGGTCAAACTCTTTCCTTTACTTTCTCCCCACATCCTTAGCATTTTTATAAATCATTGCAAATTCTCTTTAATAAACTTTAGCAAAATTATGGGACATTTTGTAAAATGAAAAACAGAAAGGGCTGGGCCTGGTGACTCATACCTGTAATCCCAGCACTTTGAGAGGCCAAGGTAGGTGGATTGCTTAAGCCCAGGAATTTGAGACAGTCTGAGCAGCATAGTGAAACCCTGTTGCTACAAAAAACTAAATGATTAGCTGTAGTACAGGTGCTCAGGAGGCTGAGGCTGAAGGACTGTCTGAGCTCAGGAGGTCAAGGCTGCCAAAGCTGTGATCATTGTGATCAGCAGGGGCAACAGAGTGAGATCCTGACTCAAAAAAAAAAAGAAAAGAAAAGGAAGAAAAAGGAAAGAGAGGAAGCCTAAAAGATTTTGTAATCCTGTGCTCATTCAGTGACATCAAGGCCCCGTTGGGCAACCTGTCTTGTGGATGACAGGGTTGGGAGTGTTTTCCACTATAGGCAGCATGTGACCAATTCCTGGCTGAAGAAACAGTGTACTTGCTAGTGGCCAGAAGGGGAAGGGAAGCTGCCTAACAGTTTAAAAGCCAGAATTACTCTGTCTTGTAGTAGAAATTAACATTCTTTTTATAGGAAAAAAAAACTTCTGAAGACTAAAACTGGGAGCATATAAAATATATGCAAGATATACTGGTTTAGAAGATGCTTTGAGAGTTGGTCCAGTGGATATTTTTAGAAGTTGTCTACATGGCCTTAACGAAATTTGTTTTTCTCCAGTGTTTGAATATGTTTTTAGTGATTTAAATTAACCAATTTACTCATATTTAGAGACAGGGTCTTGCTCTGTCACCCACTCTGGAATACTGTGGTACAATCATAGCTCACTGTGACTTTTGAAGCATCCCAAGCAGCTAGGTCTCAGGCACGTACCATCACACACAGCTAATTTTTTTTTATTTTTGTAGAGACAGAGTCTTGCGATGTTGCCCAGGCTGGTCTTAAACTTCTGGCCTAAGCAGTCCTCCTGCCTTGACCTCCCAAAGTGCTGGAATTACAGGCATTAGTCACCTGCTCAGCCGTGTGTTTAGTCATGTTAAAAAGTTATCTTAATCCCTCTGAAGAGATGAAGGCTTTAATTACAGATGTTGTGCAAAGCTGATAATTGTTATTCAACTTTTTGATCAAGAAGCTTACATTTCAGTGGGATGTTATTTTCTGCAAAAAGTGTTCATGAGGTCTAACTTGTGCCCTGTAGGTGTTGGCTTGCTTACCTCTGGCCAGTGTGATGTGATTGTGGCCGGTGGTGTCGAATTAATGTCCGATGTTCCTATTCGTCATTCAAGGAAAATGAGGAAAATGATGCTTGATCTCAACAAGGCCAAGACTCTGGGCCAGCGACTATCTTTACTCTCTAAATTCAGATTGAATTTTCTATCACCTGAGGTAAGACTTGGGAACTTTGTGCAAATAAGATGTGTTTCCAGAGCATCCTGGTGCAGCGATTTAGAATGAGGCAGGTCAGCGTGGGCTCTGGTATGCTCTAATTGTTGTAGATTCGCTTATTTTCAGGGAGGGGCTAATTATTTGGTCAAGATGAAAAGTAAAGACAGTGGTTAGAAAGTCTGAATTTGTGAGCTCTTTTTAGAGATCCTTTTCTCTCCTTGCTCACAAAGAGTTTCCCTTGCCCTGATCTTGACTGATAAATGGTAAACAAATAGATTTTACCTTATCCATGTAACACAGAACAGTCCTAGGTGTCATATAATATCTGCTAACATGTGTGCCTTCCCCTCGGCTGTCTCCTTTCCCAGCTCCCTGCGGTGGCTGAGTTTTCCACCAGCGAGACGATGGGCCACTCTGCAGACCGACTGGCCGCTGCCTTTGCTGTTTCTCGACTGGAACAGGATGAATATGCACTGCGCTCTCACAGTCTGGCCAAGAAGGCACAGGATGAAGGACTCCTTTCTGACGTTGTACCCTTCAGTGTACCAGGTCAAATGGAATGCTTTATGATACCTCCTAGGGAATTCTGAATTACCCAAATTGCTCCTAAAACTCAAAAAAACCCAAGGAACTTTTCAATAAGTATGTTCGTCCTGTTTCCAAAATACTCAGCCTTTATTCTTATACATGGACTCAAGTTTCAATTTATGTTATAACAATAGGTAAACATTTAAAAATTTTTATAAGAGTCTCCTTTTAAGCTGGGCTCAGTGGCTCAGCCTGTAATCTCGCGCCTTGGGAGGCTGAGGTGAGTGTATTGCCTGAGCCCGTGGGTTCGAGACCCACCTGGGTAACTTGGCGAGACCGCATCTCTACAATGAATCAAAAATGAGCCGGGCGTGGTAGTGTGCGCCTGTAGTTCCAGCAACTTGGAAAGCTGAGGCGAAAGGATCGCCAGAGCCCAGCAGATTGAGCTTGCGGTGGCCGGGAGCGGCCACTGCACTCCAGTCTGGGCAACAGAGTGAGACTCCAACTCAAAAAAAAAAAATACAGTCTCCTTTTAGATCTTCCTGATATACAGAGGGTGCCAGCAAATATATACACATTTTAAGAAAGGAAAAAACTGTATTAAAATTGTAAGATGGACGCAAGTCACATTTGACTTCTGCAAGAGGTGCTCCAAGTGGTTACTATCAAAGTTCAGACACTTTTGAAAAATATTTCAAAAAGTAATACATAGATAACATCTCTTAAAATGTGTATACTTTTTTTGACACCCTGGTATTTTATATCTTACATACATGCCTATTTTTAAAATTTTTAAATTTCTGATTCATCTAACTTCTGCATAGAGTAGTCAAATACAAATGAATGTCTTAAGAAATTTTTTTTTATTAAACTAGATTATTTCTAACATGTCTTAAGAGTTTAGTTTGATGTTTGATAATATTTTGACAACACGAAAGGCTTTCTATTAAATAGATAAAGTTTTATTTCATTTGTTCTCATAATTTTTAAAGCATATTTCTCTGGGAAGATATATAATGCTTGTAGTTCCAGAGAGTTAAAAAGTTCTTGTTTTTATAGGAAAAGATACAATTACTAAAGATAATGGCATCCGTCCTTCCTCACTGGAACAGATGGCCAAACTAAAACCTGCGTTCATCAAGCCCTATGGCACAGTGACAGCTGCAAACTCTTCTTTCTTGGTAGCTATAATGCTATTTATGTTTAGTAGTGACTTTTATATTTTTGTACTCTCAGTAGAAAAGCCTAAAATAGATTTATGTGCGTGTGTTGTGAGTAGAGGCTTAAAAATATAGTTATTCATTATAAAGATAATGTTCAGATGGAATCATGAAAAAAATAGAGGGCTGGACATGATGGCTCACACCTGTAATCCCAGCACTTTGAAAGACCAAGGAGGGCAGATTGCTTGAGCCCAGGAATGCAAGACCAGCCTGGGCAATATAGCAAAACCTCATCTCTACAAAAAAAGTAAAAAAATTAGCCCGGTGTGGTGGTACATGCCTGTAGTCCCAACTACTCAGAATGCTGAGGTGGAAGGATTGCCTGATCCCAGGAAGTTGAGACTGTCATGAGCCGTGATTGTCTTGATCATACCACTGCATTCCAACCTAGGCAACAGAGTGAGACCCCCAACTCAAAAAAACCCCAAAAAATAGAATCATAATTTTAAGACCTTAGAAGTCATCTAATTCAGCTATCATTCTGCTACAAAAGCTGTTCTCTTTAAACACTTAACCAGTCAAACTTTATTGCCTCTGCTAGGCCCTGGAAAAGGAAAGAACAGATAATTGCAATGTAGTGAGAAAGTGCTGTGGTGACTGTAAACATAGGCTATCAGACAAATTAAATAGAGGGTCCCTAAACCAAACTGGGAGTAGTCAGAGAGGCTTCTCAGAAGAGATAACTCTTGGGAGCAAATATTGAAGTAAAACTAAAAGTCAATTCAAGAAATCTTTTCTAGGCAGAAGGAACAGCAAATGTAATATTGGGGTATTAAGAGCAAGGGTTTCTTTGGGGGAAGAGCTAGATTGGAGCACAGGATATGAACTGGGCAGTCCTAGAAGACTGGGAAGAGTAGGCAGAAAGAGTAACAGGATGCCTCTTCTAGCATCATGGAGTAAACCATCCTGTTTTTTGTTTTGTTTTGAGTCAGAGTCTTGCTCTGTTGCCCAGGCTGGAGAGCAGTGGCACGATCACAGCTCATTGCATTCTTGACCTCCTGGACTCAGACCATCCTTCCACCTCTTCCTCCCAAGTAACTGGGACTACTAGTGGGCATCACCATACCTGGCTGATTTTTTTTTTTTTTTTGTAGAAATGCTGTCTCTCTATGTTGCGCAGGCAGGTCTTGAACTCCTGACCTCAAGCAATCCTTCTGCCTCAGCCTCCCAAAGTGCTGGGATTATAGGCACGAGCTCCCAGCCTGTTTTGTTTTTGTTATAAGTTTTTTACTTACCTACATGTAGCTTCATGTTCTTTGCTTTTTTGTCTCCTCCTCAACTAAACATCCCTATTGATTCTGCTTCTGCTTGTAAGATGTGGTTTCTCTTCTCTTATTACCTTGGGTGTAGTGCTCTGGATATAGGCCAGGTAGTCAATGTTTCTTTTACAATATAACTCCCCTGCCCAGTCATAAAGTCTGGAAACAGGCAATGTTTGACATATTTGCCCATGGTCAATGACTAATGAATGCCTACTCTTGACGGGCTAGAGGAAGGGCACCTGGAATGATTCCAGCAGGAGGGGGCCCCACCCAGTTAAGCCTGAGTGGTGAAGCTGGTTCTTTTCCCCTTGGTTTGCTTGTTATGGAGTTTATAAGTAGAAGAAAATTACCTAGAAGTCATGGACAGGACGCAGCTGTCAAACAGCCTAGAAAATGTAAGAATAAATACGAAAGTCTCATATTTTGTGCCAAAAGCTAAAAACTTTGGCTTTAGTTTTTTATAAGTACAAATTTCTAAAGTTACTTGTTTTTTTAATCCATTTTGATCATTTTGATATTTTTGAACAGGTCTTATACTCCCAAATTGAGTCAATGTGTGTGTGTTTAAATTGTGGTTTAATGACTAATAACAACGAAGTAGGTGATGTTATATAGAATCACTGTATAATTATAGTGAGTTAGTAGATTCAGAAACAGGAAATAGTTGTAGGAAGACCTCCAGACAGGCTAAAGAATTTTAACATTGTTCTGGTTAACATTTCAGACTGACGGTGCATCTGCAATGCTGATTATGGCAGAGGAAAAAGCTCTGGCCATGGGTTATAAGCCGAAGGCATATCTGAGGTAAAGTAAATGTTCCAGTGAATTGCCTCTGATATTTATTTATTTGTTTGTTTGTTTGTTTACTTACTGAGTTGGAGTCTTACTCTGTTACCTGGGCTGGAATGCAGTAGCATGCTCACGGCCACTGCAGCCTCAATCTGCTGAACTCAGGCGATCTTTCCGCCTCAGCCTTCCAAGTAGCTGGAACTACAGGCGTGTGCCACCACGCCCGGCTAATTTTTCTTGATTTATTGTAGAGATGAGGTCTCGCCAGGTTGCCCAGGCTGGTCTTGAGCCTGTGGGCTCAGGCAGTCCTCTCACCTTGGCCTCCCAAAGTGCCCAGATTATAGGTGTGAGCCACCACATCCAGCCGTGCCTCTGATTGTTAAATTTTATTACTGGAGGTAACCTCTGTATTTTTTACCTAGGGACTTCATGTATGTGTCTCAGGATCCAAAAGATCAACTATTACTTGGGTAGGTAGCAGTTTATATCTTTGGGATGTAAGTATTTGATTACTCACATTTATCATACTGATTTGAGAGTATGTTAAGCCTTGAGTTCATAATTGATTTATGTGGTGTTTTTTTTTTTTTTAAGTAATACTATTCCTTTATGTTGGCATATATTATTGTATAGTTTTGGATTATTTTCTGTTTTTCCTATACAATTTACATATACATTTTTTTCCTATACATACGTGGGGGGGACCCAAAAATACTGGAATTTTTTTGGAAGGGCAGGCCTCTTGAGTACAGACTTACCCTGCTAGGTAAGTGTTCTAGGAACCCATTGGCAGCAGTGTACCAGCTAACATTGTTGTGAGAAGCTGCATTGGCTTAGGTGAATTTTTTGGGGGGGATTTCTTTTAGCACGTTTGCCCATTTCATGATGGGTGATTTACATGAACAACTTGCCCTCGCCGCACTGAGTGTTTTGCATTTTTTGACCAAAAATTGCATGACCCCTGTACCCTGCCCTCCCTATTAACCAGATCTTGCCCTGAGCAACTTTTTTTTGTTTGCCTGGATGAAAAAGTTCTCAAAGGGAAATGTTTTCCCATGTGTAAGAGGTGAAACAAAGAATGGCAGAAGCACCAAAAGACATAAAAAAAAAAATGGATGAGTCAAAAACTGTTTTGAGCTGTTGAAAAAGTGTCTTGATAGGTGTGTTGCATCAAATGGAGAGACTTTGAAGATGACTGAAGATTAAACATGTAAAAATAAATACACAATTTTTTATAAATAAATTCCAGGATTTTTTTTTTCATCCTCCCATTTATACAGCTTTGCCGTCTTTTTTCCTTCAGATGTCACAAACATTTTTTCATATTGCTATATACTCTGCTACATAATCTCCAGAATAATTTTTTATGAAAGCCTCCCAGTATTTAGAGTCTCTCCCTTTCTCTCACAAGGCTTTAGCCTCACTGGCCTCCATTATGACCTTCAACCCAGTCTAGCCCTTTCCCATGCCTACCCCTTTGAACTGTGTCCTTCTTTTAGCTCTACATGTTATGAACTTGCCCTTATCCTTCATTGTTTGCTTGTTTATTATCTGTTTCCCCAGCTCCATAATATAAGTTTAATAAGGGCAGAGGGCATGTCTGCCAGCTCACTATTGCATCATAAACATTTAATCAATATTTGTATAGTACAATCAATGAATAAGTGAATGACATTACAGAATCTGTGTAAAACTCAGTATAGTAAATATGAAGGAACTCCTAGCTTAAAAATTAAAATTTAATATACTACTTGTTTTTTCTTTTCAGACCAACATATGCTACTCCAAAAGTCCTAGAAAAGGCAGGATTAACCATGAATGATATTGATGCTTTTGAATTTCACGAAGCTTTCTCAGTAAGTCATTTGAAGGACACATATAAAAGGACTATAGTTATAAAAAATGTAGTCCATGTTTGTGGGAGAGAGCAAGGCATGGTTTATAATGTGAGTGAGACAGAAGTGGAACTTTCTGTTTTAAGTACTGAATTACATTGCTGGGAGAAGCAGGGGAGGAATCATGGGCCACACACACGGTGCTGGAAAACTTACCTTTTGAGGTGTCTCTTAGGGGTCCTTCAAAAGGACCAAATTGTTTCTTTAGAAAATTTTCTCTGAATACTGATTTAAAGGTTTAATCAACTTTAAAGTTACACAAACCCATGCCTAAAAGAAAGCTTAGAGGGGACATTAATAACAAAGTCCTCATTGAATTATTTTTCCTTCTAGGGTCAGATTTTGGCTAATTTTAAAGCCATGGATTCTGATTGGTTTGCGCAAAACCACATGGGTAGAAAAACCAAGGTAAGTTTCTGATTTAAAAATATACTTGAATTTCCAAGGTACATTAATATTTGGAGCTTGGTTACCTGCTAATAAGAGTATGAAGGAGATAGCCTCTCCTTCTTTTGAAGAATTTTGTGTTTTATTAAATATATATCTATATATATCTATATATATCTATATATATAGATATATATAGATTTTTTTTTTTTTGAGTCGGAATCTCACTCCATCGCCCAGGCTGGAGTGCAGTGGCACGCTCACGGCTACCGCAGTGTCAACCTGCTGGGCTCAGGTGATCCTTCCACCTTAGCCTTTCAAGTAGTCAGAACTACAGGCACATGCTACCATGCCCAGCTAGTTTTTTGATTTGTTGTAGAGATGAGGTCTTGCCAAGTTGCTCAGGCTGTTCTCGAATGTGTGGGCTTAAGCAATCCCCTCACCTCGGCCTATCAAAGTGCTGAGATTACAGGCTTGAGCCACTGCTCCCATCCATGTTTATTTCTTAGTTTAAAAATAGTTCCTGGAGGCTGAACATGGTAGCTCACCCCAGTACTTTGGGAGGTCGAGGAGGGAGAATCACTTGGGGCCAAGGAGTTTAAGACCAGCCTGGGCAACATAGTGAGACCCTGTCTCTATTTAAACTAAATAAATAAGTAAAAATAGTTCCTGGAAATTCTTCAGCAAAAAATGAAAGTAATTTTTAAGTTGGAGTCTTATTCTGTAAGGCTAGAGTACAGTGGCACAGTGATGGCTCTTGCGGCTTTGATCTGCTAGGCTCAGGTGATCTTCCGTCTCAGCCTTCCAGATAGCTGGAACTACAGGTGTGTACACCTGTAGCCCAGTTAATTTTTTTAAATTTCTTGTAGAGATGAGGTCTCTCCAAGTTGCCCAGGCTGGTCTCAAATTCCTGGGCTCAGGCAGTCCTTTTGCCTTTACCTCCCAAAGTGCTGGGATTACAGGCATGAGTCATCATGCCCAGCAAAAGTAAATTTTATGTTGTCTTTTGTTCCTCCCAATCTGACATTAGGTGAAAAATAAATGGCTTTTATATTGACCTAGACTTACTTTCTTTTGCAATAAAATGATTTGTGGTAGCCGGGCTCAGTGGCTCAGCCTGTAATCCCGCACCCTTGGGAGGCTGAGGTGAGTGGATTACCTGAGCCCGCGGGTTCGAGACCTGTCTGGGCAAC